CTCCACTACCCCCTCCCCTCCCCCTCCCTCCACTACCCACTCCCCTCTGCCACCTCCCAGCCCACCCACTCCTGCTCTCCAGCTGCAGGCCTGGGGGAGGGAGAGGAGTTCACACGCATCCTCCGTGGGGTCTGCTTGGAGGCGGGGAGCAGAGAGCACTGTGGGTCAGGTGTCTGCTCCTTAGCCGCCTCCTGGGCCACCTGCTCTGCACGTGTGGCTTTCGGCTGTGCTGTTGCCTGGAATCTTCTGGACCAGGCGGCAGTCTCAGAAGAGCCAGCTCAGGTGTCAGGGCAGATTGGGGGATGGGGTTACACACCCCGGACACAGGACACTCCTGGCTTATGAGCCGGCAGCTGCTTGCTGCTGGGGGAGGCCTCTGCCCAGCCCTGTCCCTGCGTGGAGAGGAGGTGCCTGGGGAGCGGATGGCAGGATCCTTCGGGGCTCGGAGCGTGGAGGCAGCCGGGCCTGCCCGTGCCCTCGCTGTGCGGATGAGACAGCCGACCTCTCCGCGCCTCAGGCTTCCCGTCAGGGAAACGGGCTCGTGACCACTTCTCGGGTTGTTGCTGGGAGGCACGTGGCTTGTGCCTGGCACAGGGTAAGCCGAGGGCCTGTCATTGCCCCCGTCGGGCACGCAGTTCTGCCTGGACTGTCCCGTGGGCGGGAGCCGTCAGAGCGGGACACGGCTTCTCTCAGAGCTTGTGAACAAAGGCGGACGCCGTGGCCTCCGGGAGGCCGTGCTGGCCGGGGACCTGTGAACACGGAGCAGGTGGCAAGGGAGCCGTCTGCGTGTGGCTTCGGGAATCAGAAGGCAGAGCCTGTGTGCGTCCGCCCAGGACCCCGGTACGGTGAGGCCTCCCGCCTGTCCTTGACGCTGGAGGGCGGCCCCCAAGGGGCCCACTGTGGGTGGCCGCCGCCTAGCACGGCCCGCAGCCCTGTGAATTGGGCCACAATGGGAGCTGTGTGTGAAAGGAGGTCAGCCTGCCTTGCTGGGGCGGGGGTCCAGAAGCTGCCCCGGCCCAGCCCCCAGCCCCACCAGCTCCGAGGTCTGCTGGTCTGATCAGAAAGGCCGCCTTCGCTCCCATGGGGCCGCTTTTCTTACAGAGGAAATGTCCGAGCAGGCCCAAGGTCAGGTCACAATAGACCGTAAATGAGTGAGGTGGCCTCCATGCCAGCCGGGGCAGTTACTGTTGTTCAGATGCAGAGGCGGGGAGCTTGGGGGCCTCTGAGATAAAGTGCCAGCACTGGCCCTGTCCCTGCCCAGGGACTGCTGGGGCCTTGCTTCTGTCTGAGTGCAAGTATTTCCTGTTGATTTGCAGGGTGGTAGGGCTCGTGTCCTGGCATGCAGCATCTTGAACCCCTGCTCTGCTGGGCACAGCTCCTTGGCCGGCTGTCGGGGGAAGGGCAGCATGGGCCCTGGCTAAGGAATTGTGGGAGACCTGGGAGCATCAGCTGGCCTGGAGAGGCGTCTGCATTTGTCAGGGCCCCATTGTGTCACTCACGGGCAGCTCTTCTCAGCCCACAAACACCGATGTCCCCAGCTCCGTGCTGGGTGGGTGGGTGAGGCTCATAAGACCTGTGCCCAGTAGAGAAATAAAACATCCACAAGTCAGCCCAGGGCCTGAGGTCGTTCCTGGGTGAGGGGGCAGGAGATGACAGTAAACGACAGGAAGTCTCCCTGGTGAGGGAGCAGTCACATCCAGGAAGCCTTCTCGGAAGAGAAGGCATTGAGCTGGGGAATGAGACAAGACTCCAGCAGGTGGCGATGGGAGGGGACCTTCATCAAGGATGCGATTGCTGCTTGCTCAGGACTCAAGTGACAGCAGCAGGTGTACTACAGGACCCCCCCCCCCCGCCACCTGAGAGGGGCCAGGTTGCCATCTGCATAGGTGGGAGGGGTGGGTGTGGGAGCTGAGTCGACTTGCCCGCACCCAGGAGGGAGTTTGTGTCATTTCTCCGGGCCCTGCCGCAGCAAGGTGGGGATGACTAGTGTCTGTTCGTGGAGTGTTGTGAGGGCTCAGGTCAGACAGCTCCTTCCAGAGGTGAGGCAGGCCAGAGCATGCCGCGGGCGCCCTGCCTGACCGCTTCCCTGGGCCCGGGGGCCTCGCCTTCTGGGGAGAGCTGAGTGCATGCAGATTGTAGACCGGAGGGGGGGCTTCTGCCTCCACAAGCTTTCGTCCTCGTCTCCCAGAGCCCTGAGAGCTCCGGGTGGCTTTGTGGATCAGGCGCCAGCTGCGCTCTGAGCTGCACGTGAGTTCAGAGGCGGGGTTCGCGTAGGTTGAGAGAACGCCTGTCCCCGCTGGTGTCCACGTCTGGCGGGAAGAACCGGTCCTGTCTGTGTTGCCCTTTGCCCCGCTGGGGTGGTGTTCCCCAAGAAGGCTGCCTGGTGGGCTTCTGACCTCTGCTTCCTCTGTTCCCTCCCAGGCCATCAGCATCAGCAAAGCCATCAACACCCAGGAGGTCCCTGTGAAGGAGAAGCATGCCCGTCGTATCCTTCGCTGCCCCCGGCGGGCCCTCTGCCCCTCTGGGTCCCTGGGAGAGGCAGGGCCGGGTGGGGAGGACGTGCACCTGCCCTGCATGGTCACTGCCTGTGGTTTGGGAGGGGGCAGCGTGGCGCTGCAGCTGACCGCTGGGGCTTTGTGAAGTCTGCCCTTCGACTAATGAGGTGTGTCCGGTGACCCTGGGCCAGCCTGGCTTGCCTCACTCGGCTCCTCTGAGACTCTGAGTTGTCGCGGGAATGCCATCTGTTTTCTTAGGCTATGGGTCCAGTTGAATTCAAGGGGCATGATCTTGCCTTTGTCTTGCCCTTGGCTGAAAACCGTAGCTCCTGGTGACCTGGGGCGGATGTGGAAGGATGGGGGGAAGGCATGCAGCAGCTGTGGGGTGAGTGTCTGGGTCACCGAGTGCCCCCCTGACTTTCCCCACACTTGAGTCTGCTTCCTGCACTTGGCCTTGACCCTAGTAGGCATCATTCTGGGCACTCATCACGAGAAAGGGGCCTTTACTTTCTGGTCCTATGCCATCGGTCTGCCACTTCCCAGCAGCTCCATCCTCAGCTGGAAGTTCTGCCATGTCCTCCACAAGGTCCTTCGAGATGGGCACCCCAATGTGAGTAGCCGCTGCCTGCTGGTCCTGAGGGGGCCAGGTCCCCTGTTCTAGCCACCGCATGCTTCTCAGGACAGGAGGAGGCCTGGGGAGCCTGGGCCCTTCATCTGCTGCCACCTGAGCAGGCCGGCACTCCAGGGGGCGGGAGAGCAGTGTCCCTTTGAAATGAAAGACTGTCCTGCCCATCCCGCTTAGCGGTGGGCCGGCCCGCCTCACCTGCTGGCCTCCACCCTGTCCCTCCCCGCTCACAGGGAGTAAACGAGTCGGGGCCCCTCCTGCAAGGCCTGGGGTTCTTCATCTTGCTCCCCTGTTCTCCCTGCGCCTCAGGTGCTGCACGACTGCCAGCGCTATTGGAGCAACATTCGGGAGGTTGGAGATCTGTGGGTAGGTGCGGGGCGAGCGCCCTGGCCCCTCGCAGGCGGCACCGTCCAGAGGCCAGCCTGGCCTTCGGGTTCCCTGGCACTCGCGGGGCCGAGCGAGGGCGGCACCCCGTTCTCTCCCAGCAGAAGTTAGAGCAGTGCTGTTTGGGGAGGCCGGGGGGCGGGGAAGGAGCCTCGTGAGTCGGGTCGCAGCCTTGCTTTATAAAGCCTGGTACAGGACGTTCCAAACGCGGAACTAGGGGGCCCCCCAGCTCCACAAGTCAGCAGCCCGTAAGTCTCTGTGGGTCGGGGAATGTGGTAAGACCCGAGTCCAGCCGTCGTGGTGGCGGCAAGAGCTGTGTGAGGGGTACCGACTCCCGGCGCCCCCACACCAGCCGCTTCGGGTTCTCGGGACTGGAAACCTGTATTTTCAGCCAGCTCCCCACGGAGGAGGCGGCTGGGAGGATGTGGACATGCGACTGTCAGAATGTGCCTCCCCGGCCGCCGCCAGCACTTTTAATAAAGTGTCCCAACCCAGAACTGGCCCGTGGCCCGGGACGAGGAGCTCTCACCACAAGAGTTTCCTTGGCGAGAATGACAAGGAGTCGATTTGAACAAGCAGGAGGGAGAGCCGCAGGCTGGAGGGGATTGGCGGAGGCCTCGGGAAGGGAGTCAGCCTTCTGGCGGGCGGAGCGGCGCCTGCTGCGGGAATAGTGCCTGGGTGGGTGGGTGGGTGGGTGGGGGGATGACACTCGGCTCGTCAGCTCAGCTTCCTGGCCCGCGCTGCAGCACGCCGGGTCCTGTGGGGTTCTCGGGACGCTCCCGGGCAGCGACCCTGACCCCGGCCCCTCCCTCCGCAGGGCCACCTGCACGACCGGTACGGGCAGCTGGTGAGCGTTTACACCAAGCTCTTGCTGACCAAGGTCTCCTTCCACCTCAAGGTAGTCAGTCTCCTTGGTGGGGCGTCGTGGGGCTGGGGAGATCCTGGGCTCATCCGTCCACTCCCATAGAGGAGGGTGGGTTCTGTCCTGCCCTGACCTTGACCCAAGGTGAAGGGAGGGATGCCGGGTCGCCATGGAGGTCGGCACCTGAGGCATCCCCAGGGACGCAGGCGCGGGGCTCGGCCTGGCCTTTGGCTCCGCCCTGCTGGACGTCGCGTCCTCTCTCCCCGGTCTCCGGGCACTGGCACCCTGCCTCGGCCGGTACCCAGGGCAGACGGCAGCTCCACAGTCTGGGGGCTTCTCCGGCCTCGTCTCCTCCCTTAAAAGCTAGACCTGGTTCTGGGCCAGAGCCAACATGGGCTGCAGTTGAGTGGGGGTGTCCTCTCCACAGCACCCCCAGTTTCCCGCGGGCCTAGAGGTGACAGACGAGGTGCTGGAGAAGGCAGCTGGGACTGACGTCAACAACATGTGAGGCCCTCGGGGCGGGGGAGTGGCCCGGCCCGTCTCCCTTCTCCCCCCTCAGTTGCCCTGTTGGTCCCTCGTCTTCCGTGCCCGGGTTCCCGAATGTGGGGGGCTCTGGGGCTGAAGGCGATGTTCCCGGGAGACGAGACGAAAGCTGAAGGGGGTTTGCTTGGGATCAGGCACTTTGAGCTGCAGGACTGTCGTCCTGTGCAGCGGCGTGTTGGTAAACGGTTCCCTCCTCCCCCCGGGGGTCTGGCTGGGGTGCGCCCCACCACTGTGGCTCAGCCTTCTGTCCCTGTTCCCGCCGTAGCTTCCAGCTCACCGTGGAGATGTTCGATTACATGGACTGTGAGCTGAAGCTCTCTGAGTCAGGTGAGGTGCCCGGGTGTCATTCCCCAGGGCGTGGGGTTGGTACCTGCTGCCTGTTCGCCTAACTTCCCTGCTCGAAGGCACCTGCCCCGGGGGTCCATGCCCCCACCAGAAATAGGTATGGGGGCCTCCAGGTGCCCCCGAAACACGGGAGAGAGGATGGCAGGCCCCTGCTGGGAACAGTCTCTGCCGTTCCTTCCCCTAAGTGAATCCACCTTTCCTGCCAAGGCGGGAAGTTGGGGGACACCAGGAGATGCCTCTTCAGGGTCCCGGCCCAGGCTCCCCCGGGAAGGGCAGCTTTGGATCCTCTTGCCCGTTTTCTGCTGTAAAAGGCCCCTGAGTCATGTGGGACCTCCCAGCCCGGGAACCGGCAGCCCCCGGCCGGGACACGCAGCGCTCCCCCTCCCGGGCTGCAGAGGTGATTGTTTTGGGTGGCAGCTTCAGAATAACTTGTGGGTGACTCACACTTTTCATGGGAGGTTGAGAAGCAAATGCCTTTTTAAGGGAAAATTAGGAGTGAGAAGGAAGTGGATCTGGGCAGCCTCCTGGCTTTCCCGGGCCTGGACTCTGAGGCTGGGCAGTCCAGTGGGCAGCCTGGGGACACCCGCCCCGGACCTGACCAGGGAGCAGCGGGCAGGTGCCCAGGGGTGTGGCTGCCAGCCTGTCTATACCAGGCAGGAGCTGAGTCCTACAGTGTCCTCCCCTGTGCTGCTTTGTGGGGTGGGGGCCGAGTGTGGGCGGGCAGTGGTCCCCATGAGGGAAGGTGGAGAAGGCCCAGGGGCGGTGCCCCAGCTCCGAGACACTGACGTCTTAACGAAGCACAGAGGAGGGGCCCATGGGTGGCCGTGCGGTTTCCCTGCTGTGTGGAGGCTCCTGCCTCTCCGTTTGTAGCAGCCAAAGATGGGGGAATGTCTTGAGCGCCCCTCAGTGGAGAAATGGCTGTCTCAAAAAAAACCAAAATAGTACTTCATGTGCATTTTGATTTTTTACAAGGAAAATGTGCTTGACACAATGCGTAATTAAAATTAAGTTTGAAGAAGATGAGGGACGGCCCTTAGTTCTTCCTTTGCCACCCCTTCCGTCCCGGGCATTCTTGGGTTCCCGTGGAGGTTCGCAAATGGGCCCAGCCGGGCGAGGCGAGGGGAGGACCCGGAGCTGGGGGCCCGCCGTTCCGGACCAGTGTCCCGTGCGGGTGCCCCGGCGGCTCTGCCGGCCCAGCGTGCTGCCTGCCCATCGCCGCCGTTCCCTGCACAGACGAGAGGCCCGCTGGGGGAGGCAGCCCCGTGTGTCCCGTTCCCTCCTCCTCGGTTGCTCTGACAGAGGCTTGACCGTTAGGGGCAGGGTGATCGACCCTGGGTCCAGTGAGGTTTGAGGTCGCCTGGGTTTGCAGAGCCCAGTCCTGACTCTCGACCCTGCTACTGCCACCACTTGTCCCAGAACCGCCCCGTGAGGCTCTCGGGAAACGCTGGGCCAGCGGGCGGGGTTACTTTGCCTGACTTTGCTGTCACTCTAGCTCGAGGGGGCACTGGGCCTCGGTCGGGGCAGCCACAGCACATGGGGCCCCCATCCACGGAGCGTGCTGGTGTTCGAGGACCTGGGGTCGAGCCCCACTGCATGGCTGGGGTGGTGAAGCAGGCCACCCATGCTGTCACCCCAGGGTGCTGTGATGACGCCGTGAGGTGATGGCCTGGGGCCTGCGCTCAGCAGTGTTCCACACTCAGGCTGCCACCAGGGCCGGCTCAGCGCCTGCGTCTCCTGGCCCTCCACGCTCCTAACCCTCCTCCTGCCTCTCTCCTGTGCAGTTTTCCGGCAGCTCAACACAGCCATCGCTGTGTCCCAGATGTCTTCAGGCCAGTGTCGCCTGGCGCCCCTAATCCAGGTCATCCAGGACTGCAGCCACCTCTACCACTACACGGTCAAGCTCATGTTCAAGCTGCACTCCTGTGAGTCCCCAGCCCTCCCACCGCCGGCCACCCCCACCCCCTGCCCCAAGGTCCCTCTAGAGCCCCAGCGGGCTGTGTTTATGCAGCTTTTATTGACCAGCATGTACTGTAACATCAAGAAATTAGTTGGAAGTAACCATGATAAGCTCATTACCCATTACCATAAATAACATCCTCGTTACGAAGTCAGTTTTCTAGAACAAAGACTCAGGGAGAAGAGGGCTGTAGTTGTACGTGTTTGCCGATCTCTCGAAGGCCCGGCCTGGGAGCGGGGCCGCCCGCTGCCTCTGCACCCAGCCTGATGCTGTGTCTCATGCCACGCGCACTGGCCGGGACCCGTGCGAAAGGGCACTGTGTCTCCGGAGTGTTCAGGAAGGGTCTCGTCCCAGGCCCCACTTTGAGACCCGCTGGCCTAGGGCATACGAGCTGTCGAATGTTAGTGCAGGGCAAACTCGGGTCTAACGTGACTTTACAGTGCGCCCCAGGCCAGGCCCCGTGGGTTTGCTGTGGTCAGGGGACCGCCTGTCCCGCTCACGGTTCCTTCCCTTGCTCAGCACACCCCCAGCGGGGACCCGGCCAGGTGGCAGCGATCTCTGACCTGTGACAGTTTCTAGAAGGTGGAGGAGTGGGAGGGGACGGGAGGGAGAGAATGTGAAGTCCCCATAGCCACCGAGCAGAGAGCAGAGGGGATGCGCGTTAAGCCTGTGCTGCCCCCAGGTCTCCCGGCGGACACCCTGCAAGGCCACAGGGACCGGTTCCACGAGCAGTTTCACAGGTACCAGTGGGGCGGGGCTGCCCGGAGGGGCCTGGCTCCGTGGGCCTGGCTCCCTCGTGACGTCCTGCACTTGTCCCCACAGCCTCAGGAACTTCTTCCGCCGAGCCTCGGATATGCTCTACTTCAAGCGGCTCATCCAGATCCCCCGACTGCCCGAGGTACCGGCCAGGCCGCAGCCCCGGTTCCCCCTCTGGCCCCCGTGCCCTTCGACGCCCCCAGCTGCCTAGCAGGTCCCCAGGTGGACTCTGAGGGCGGCAGAGGGAAGACTCCTTGGGGGGCCGCTGAGCAGCTCCCACTGTGGCCTCCACAGGGGCCTCCCAATTTCCTGCGGGCCTCAGCGCTGGCCGAGCACATCAAGCCGGTGGTGGTGATCCCTGAGGAGACCGCCGAGGACGAGGAGCCGGAAAACCTCATCGAGATCGGCACGGGCCCCCCCGCCGGGGAGCCAACGGTGAGCGGCCCCTCTCCCTGGCAGGGCTGGCTGGACTCCCTCCCTCCCCTGGCCTGGAGCGGGGGTCATCATGTTTCACTGTGGCAGGTGGTGGCCGACCTCTTTGAACAGACGTTTGGACCCCCCAACGGCTCCATGAAGGACGACAGGTGAGGGCCCAGGGTGCCAACCGTGGAGCGGGGCTGGGAATGGCCTTCGCGGAGCTGTGGTCGGGTGGGGGACACGAACACGAGGCACCCAAGTCCCAGAGGCTGCCGATGAGCCCGTCGGTTCCTGCGCTGGGTCCTCTGATTTTCCTGGTTGGCTGAACTCGAGTGCCAGGACTGTGCGGGCCTCAGAAAGCCCTGCCTGACCTCTGTCCCCAGGGACCTACAGATCGAGACCTTGAAGAGAGAGGTGGAGACGCTGCGTGCTGAGCTGGAGAAGATCAAGCTGGAGGTGAGGGGCTGCGGGCGGGGGGTGGGCCGCAGGCGGCGGGGGG